TGTGCAGGAGGATCCTTAGCAATTTGGATATCTTCAAATGGCTCGCACGAATTCAAAAAAGTTTCTTTAAATAAGGGCTGCGATTTTGGAAAAGGAGTCTACCACTTCTTATCTTAAAGATTCTTACGTTTACTATTAATATGTTGCTTAATGAAAGTTCATTAATTGCTTTTCTTACATTTAGAATAATGAAGAGAAAAATACTTCTCAAAATCAATCAACAAAAAAAAACGGAAGCTGACGATTAATAATGTAAGCAATTGTCTAATAGTGATCATTTTTGGATTACTTTTTGGGGTTATTTCGAGAGCCAGCAGCCAGAACGAAAAGTGATTCGTTCGGTAGTTATAAAAGGTATAATGAGAGTCATCGAGTCAAACCACACCTAAAATTCATACTTTTGGACCTTATCTAAAATTATAAAGCTATAAAAATTATTTTGCCAATTGTGTCTGTAGCAAGACTAGAAATAGGCAAATGTGTATTTTTCCATCGAGATTTAAATGACTCTCGTGCTATTCATATGTTGTTTAACGAATGTTCATTAATTTTTTTTATCTTACACAAGAATGACGAAAAAGAAAATACCCCTCCGACCAAATCAGCTAAGAAACTGAAGCTATTAAATAATAACGTAAATGTAATGATGATCATTTTGGACTGCATTTTATAATTATTTCAAGAGCTATGTAGAAGTAAGAAAAAAAAGTGATTCGTTTGCGCAAAATGCAAATCCAAAAATGTTTCTTTAAATAAGCTTCGCGATTCTGGAAGAAGATCCTGCTATGTACTTTTCTTATTAAAGGATTCTTATGTTTACAACTCTAATATTGCTTAATAGATGTTCATTACATGATAAAAAGAAAATTTAACTTAATTTTTTATTATATTTATTTAGCATGAAGAAAATGAAGATGAATCTTCAACCCGATCAATGGACAAGAGGCAAGAACAAATAAGTATATATCTTTACTCTTATTTTTTATTTTATATTTTCATCAAATTCACTCTAATCTAGTTAATTAATTTTCTAGTGACTTTTGTAAAAAAACAAACGATTATTAAAAGTATATACACGACTTCAATTATAATGTTATTTATAATGTTATTTATACTTTTTTTAATAAACTAACCTTTAATTCTATTAAAGGGGGTGCCGTACTATTTTTGCTGAAAAAAGCATGTCGACTGGAATTTCAAATTTTAGTCAAATTATATCTCGAGGATATACTTTAGTCGACAAAACCCTACTTATTGCGGAGTTTATCGAATCAAATTCAATTGTTTCAGTAATTGTTCGGCCAAGCCAGTTTGCCATGTCTACAAATGTCTCCATGACTAAAGATTTTTTCAATCCCAATTTTCTCGGTCATTTTAGTTATCGCTATGAGTTATTCAAGATAATGGTTAAAGTAGACCTAATTAAAAGATATTTTTGCAAATATCCGGTTATGCATATTTCCTTTAAGGTACGTGTGTATGTTAGTTACTTTATAAACAATCTGCGATTATGAGTAGTAGTTAGAAAAGTGCATATTTAATTGAATGCGCATGCATGAATGCATTGGCTCATCGCTAATTAGGTCGTTAGATATACTCCAACAATTATTATGGAGAAGCTTGTGACTTTTTTTTATCGATACTAGGAATGGCTTTTAAGGCGAGCAATTTTTATTTATTATTTTATTTGGACTTTATTGTTAGATTAACAAAGTAAACAACTATCCATTGTTAATCCTCAATATAGTGCAGTGAGAATTTGGAGAAAGTCCTTCTTGTTGGTACATTTCCAATTGGGTTTATTAATATGCATGCTTTTTCAACGAATGAAGCAGAGTATGCAGATAAATTTGGATTTACGGAAGAGGAAGCTTCCACCATTGCTCAATACCATAATTTGGAAAGCCGTTTAGAAGAAATCAAACAATGGTATGGTGGCTATAAAGCAGATGATATTCATCTATTATAATCCCTTTTTGATAAGCTCTTTTATGGATAAAAAGGTTTTTAAGAAATATTAAATTGATACAGGTAAGTTGAATCTTTAAAACTAAATGATAATTAGAGGTCTGAAATCTGGACACGTGCCTGTACCTCAACTTATATTATCCATTATGACAAGCTTATAATGTTTTAGAATACTTATCTAATCCGTTCATTGAATAAGTAATAATAGTAATAAAATTATTAATTGCATAATTTTGTTAACTGGTGCATGAAGCCTAATATTGTTTCAAGCAGTGGTATCAGACAGATTCCTACTATTGCTAAAAACAGTTTACAGCAGTTTTCAAAAAGATGTGGAAAGGCAATGTTTCCGATATACATATATAGGGGAAATCAGGTAATCCAATAATGGACAGATATAATAAAAAATAAACTTCTGTTTATTGTGTCATAACAAAATTTATAACAATATTAGTTTTTATTTATTTTTATTATTGCTTTCAATGACTGATGCACTAAATACGTACAAAAATACAAACGGGAACTTGCTTTGGATGTTACTTCGTTGTGAAGTTGATCTACAAAAATGTCAACTTAGTCGACTAAGATCAACGAACAACTAATACTGAGGATCATGTGCGCAGTAATTTGTTTTACGATTAGAAAATAGCGTTAGTGGTTGAGTTTTATATTCGAAAAGAACTTTGTATTTATGAGTACAATGTGCATTTTTATTAATTTCTAATAAAGACATGATAATTTAATAAGAATATTAGTGTAAAATCTGTTATAAATAATGCTTCTACACTCATGAATATTAATATAATGATTATTTATGACATTCACATCATGAATTATAACTCTCAATTTTTATCAAACCAAACACTTCGTATACTAATATAAACTTTTAATATAAAGAAATTTGCATCTTAGAATAACTATTGTATCAAAGAAATACTATGCGTTATTTTAAGATTTTGTTATATATCAAAGTTTATTTGGGCAAATTTTTGAAAAATTATCGTTAAAATTTATTTTTTTACTTTTGTATAACCAAGAAACGATATCTTTCGGGAAATTGGTGAAAAATCTTTTGCTGTCACAAATTAAATTTACAAAAGCTAAAAATTTTGGAATTGTTGTGAATTTTTCATAATATGCAGTTTGCTTCTTTTATGTTATTTTGAAAAAAACTGTAAAAAAATGCGAATGTGTACTATGCGAGGAATGCAAGAATTTCTAATTATATTGTTAATGGTTTGGATTTACTATTGATTTTTGTTAAATTTAGCAGGTTGTGATATCGCAGGTTAATATACATTTAAAAGTTATTATTAGTTAGAGTTAGGGTTCGAACTAGTATTAGGATTAGAGTTAGAAGGCATGTATATATGTAAGATTAAGTGTTGAAAACTTTTAATTAGAAGCCCAAGACTAGTTTACATATGAAATTTCGAGATATTTAAATTTTTTAATTTTTGCTAATTTTTCGTTCATTTTTGTTACACAAGATTCTGTGATCTAATTGGTCAATCATATTAACCTGCGATATAGCAACTTGCGATAGTTTATAGATTTAAATATTTTTAAAAAAGTTAAAAATATTTTTGTAAAGGCAATGGATTTTTTATATTTTTTGTGCAATAAAATTTTTTCATAGAAAATTTCTATTAAAATATGTTATAAAAGTATATTTAATTTAGTGAATTAATGAATTTGTAACCGCGGCTACAGGTATAACGTGACTATCAAAACAAACTTTTTTATAGAAATAAAATCCTGCTATTAAGTTTAGGGTTAGAGTAAAGCTGGGTTGGAAAAGAGCATGGCTCATACCAAAATTTTGCAAGGAATTTTTTTTTTAAAACATAAAAGATGGTTTCATAGTTAAAATCTTGAGTTATCGACTATTTTTTTTAAAAAAAACAACTTTTGTTTTGATTTTACGTTACACCTGATCTTGAAATTTGATTGGTTTATAGGATGTGGCTACAGTAACCGCGGTTACAATTTATCATCCTAATTTAGTATGCTAAAAACTTAATATAAAAAAATTTTTATTAATAATATTAAACTAAATAATATTAACCTATCCTATATTTTGTAATAAATTCTTTTATATAAAAATTTAGGGTTTTAAAATTTATTGCACGTGCAATATATTGCACCCCTTCTGTTATATCAAAATTTTTACTATGAAACCACC